TCTAAAGGGGGGGGGGGGCACATTTTCTTTGTTGCCATGGCAACTGTTAGTCCTCCTTCTAATTTCCCTCTAGGTCTTTTATTTAGAGTCCTGCAAACATAAGGACAAGAGCATTATCTCTGTCAGAACCCCTGGCCGATCTCAGAAGCAGGAAAAAGAAGACAGATGAAGAAATGTTTGGCAATCCTTTCTCAACTTTCCAGGAGAAGTCTGACTGGAGGGAGGTTTTTCTTACAAAGGAAGAAATGCATGAATAGTAGCCAAGGGAATAAAAGAGAACATACTGGACACATGCAGAAGCAGTTATTGGAGTTCATGAAAAATTAGACAACTTTGGAGTGCACACTACAGTATTGTTCAGTTCAACTCCATCCTCTAGCCCATTTAGAATGCTTCCTCTTAGGACTAGCAGCTCCTGTCAGTCTCCTGTGCTCCTTCCTGTCTCCAGAGAGTTTGGGGATCTCCTATTTTGTTTCTTTCCCCATTACCTTCTCTTCCCCCCCCCCCCCCCATTTGCTGTTTGAAAATGTCTACCTAGTTATTTTTATTAGATGAACCTTTTTAATAGAAGCTGAGTAAAATCACCTATTTCCACGGTCCTGTTTTTTTTGTGTGTGTGTATATGTATATAGCCAAATATGTCAAACTTTTGTTTTACTACACAAATTCATCTGTAGAAATAAGGGAGACCGACAAAACACTTGATCTCGTTACAGTGCTTGTTTTGGGTATTGTAGCCTTGGTGCTGCCACTTCTAGGGATTGGGTTTGTTTTGTTTTGGGTTTTTTTGATGTCCTGGTAGTCCTGGACCCTCACAGATGAATAGAAGGGATCCCCCCTAAAATATAGAGGAACTAATTACAATTGGAGGCAAATGTCTCTTGGCTGCCTTGGATTTTTTTTCACTGGCAGAACTTTCCACTGTTTCTTTAACCTTCCATGTTTATTTACAACTCTCATTCTTTGCTATACTGTATACTTCAGGTATGGGTGCACTTGTTGGTCCAATAGGTTATGTACTGAAATTTTTTTCTGGCTAAGATCTAGAACATGCATGTCCTATATCTAAGAAAACTGTGAGGTGCATGACTGCTAGCTGCATCTCAGTTCAGGGATAGCAGATTGCTGTGCTTCCCTTAGCTCAAGTGTGTGATGAAGCCAGGATGGGTGCGTAGCTGGGTTTCTGTGTGACCAGGCAATGTTGATCTTAGTGATTTCCTGCTGGTTTGCCTTTTCCTATTACCTTGGGGTTTCAGATCACCCAGCCAACTACATCATTGTTATCTCTGATTTGACTTACTCCTTATGGTAGTGCTGCGTGCGCAGAAAGAGACATGAAATACTTGAACAGGTCCCTTCTGCTCAGGCTCCAACAAAGACTTCATAAGCCAAAGCAGCAGAATGCTGGATGTTCTCTACATCCTAATGTCTGTAGTGGCATCAGGACGTTAGGTTAAGAATGGAGCATCTGTGCCTAAAGCTTCCTTTGACAGCAAGGAAAAGACACCTTAGCAAAACACCTATCTGTAATATTCTGCATCTGACTAGACTGAACACAACACAATTGTCTTTTGTTACTTAATGTTAGGCAGCTGTTCAAGTATTGCAGACTGCAATTGCTCTGTCCTTTTCCATCACTAGTGGAGCTGTTGGTCAGTTTTGACTGAGGAGACAATATAGTAAGTTCCTACAAGTTTTGCAATAGTTGGTGACTGGGCAAGTAGAAGAGGGAGCCCTAAATTAGTGTCCCCACTTGATGCAAGGCTTTACATATGTTTGACTATTACTTGTTCTATTTGGCCAGCTGATGGCTGATCAGCAAACATAGTTCAGAATCAGACACAGTTTGAGCTTTCTCTAGTTAGCAAATAAGGAGGAATTGAAGATATTTCAAAGGGGAAGAAGTCTGAGAGGGTGTGTTTGTGCAGGGGATGTAGGGACATGGGACATATTAACCTGGTTTTCTAACGTGAAACCTGGTCTCCTACAGTTGGCAGAATAACTCATATCAATTTAAAATGTATTCCAAAACAGGATCATGAACCTTTCCAGGGTCTGTTCACATGTTAATAGAAATCATAGAATAGTTGAGGTTGGAAGGGACCTCTGGAGGTCATCTAGTCCAACACCCTTCCCTCCCCCGCCCCACTCAAAGCAGAATTAACTAAGTTGCTCAGGGTCTTGTCTAGTTGGGTTTTGAATATCGCCAAGGATGGAGACTCCACAACCTCTCTGAGCAACCTGTTCCAATGTTCAACCATCCTTGCAGTAAATAAGTGTTTTCTTATGTTTAAATGGATCTTCCTCTATTTCAGTTTGTGCCCACTTTTTCTCATCCTTTCACTGGGCACCACTGAGAAGAGCCTGGCTCCGTCTTCTTTACTCTTTCCTGTTAGGTATTTATACACAATGATAATATTCCCCTCAGTCTTCTCTTCTCGAGGCTAAACAGTCCCAACTCTTTCAGCCTTTCCTCATATGACAGATGTTCCAATCCCTTGATCATCTTGGTGGCCCTTTGCTGGGCTTGCTCCAGTAGGCCCATGTCTTCCTTGTACTGGGAAACCCAGAACTGGACACAGTATTCCAGATGTGGTCTCACCAGTGCTGTGTGGAGAGGAATAACCACCTCCCTTGACCTGCTGGCAACAATCTTCCTAATGCAGCCCAGGATGCTGTTGGTATTTTTTGCTACAAGGGCGCATTGCTGGCTCATGGTCAACTTCTTGTCTACCAGGACCCCCAGGTCCTTCTCTGCAAAGTTGCTTCCTAGCTGGTCGGCCCCCAGCCTGTACTGACGCATGGAGTTATTCCATTCCAGGTGCAGGACTCTGCACTTCATAAGGTTCCTGTTAGCCCATTTCTCCAGCCTGTTGAGGTCCCTGTGAATGGCAGCACAGCCCTCTGGTGTATCAAACACTCTGTGACAGAGTGCACCCTCAGCAAGTTTGCAGGCAATACAAAATTGGGAGGAGTGGATGATATGGCATTGAACTAAGGCCTGGGAACAATACAAATTTATGAACTAAGTTGCTGGTGGAGAGTACAAAGCACAGGCACATGAATCCTATTGATCCTACAGCTACTTGCTCACCCTGAGTGTAAATCCATCGGTGGCCTTTTCTACATTGTCAAATTTTATGACTCTTATCGATCTTATGCGTTCTTGAGCAAACTCATTGTGTAAAATGAACACCCCATGTAGACAAATCTTAAAAGACTGACAGTATTCCAGAGTGAACTCTGCTACTAATACAGGTTATATATCTGTCTGGAGTTTTCTATGCCAATTATGCTTGTAGTTCATGGCTGCACACACATGAAAATAATCATCAACTCTATTTTAAAAGCTCCTATGCAAAAGGCAGATATTTGAACGAACGCTTTGCAGTGTAACAGATAGCAATTGGCTCTTTGTATACTTCTGAAGATGAAGCTAGACCAATTCAGACTGGAATTTAATTCAAACTTTTTAGCTCAAGCTTTTCAATATGAGGTTATCTAACCATCTGAACAACTTATCAAATAGTGTGTTGGATTCTTCACAAGTAGAAATTTTTACATTAGGAGTGGATGGCTTACTGAAGGGTGTGTTTTAATTTGGACAGGAATTAACAGGAACCATGTATTGCATTATTTAGCTCACAGTAGAGCACCCTGTGACATGTTTGATGTTGTGCTGGCTATTATACTGTGTTAACTCTATAACAGAATTTGTTTTTTGGGGTTTTTTTGTGCTCCTTCACAGAGTTGCCAGCATGAGTATGATATCAATATGGTAGTGGGAAATTAAGATAAGTTTTTTGGTCATCTGTCTTTTAGCTGTCATCTTTCATTTTTAACCTGTTCTCACTGTGATCCAAATAAACTTTAGCCATTTTAGCATGATTTCTTCTGCTTTATTTTATAGGATCATGGATTTTCCAGGACACTTTGAGCAAATCTTTCAGCAGCTAAACTACCAGAGGCTTCATGGCCAACTTTGTGACTGTGTCATTGTGGTGGGAAACAGGCATTTCAAAGCCCATCGTTCAGTTCTGGCAGCGTGTAGCACACATTTCCGAGCTCTCTTTACTGTAGCAGAGGGTGATCAAACTATGAACATGATTCAGCTGGATAGTGACGTGGTGACAACAGAAGCTTTTGCTGCTCTGATTGATATGATGTACACTTCTACGCTAATGCTTGGGGAGAGCAATGTTATGGATGTCTTGCTGGCTGCTTCTCACCTACATTTGAACTCTGTTGTTAAAGCATGTAAACATTACCTTACTACCAGGACACTACCGATGTCTCCACCTAGTGATAGAATTCAAGAGCAAAATGCGCGCATGCAAAGATCTTTCATGCTTCAGCAGCTTGGACTGAGCATTGTGAGCTCTGCATTAAATTCCACTCAGAGCACAGAGGAACAACCAAATACCATGAGCTCATTGATGAGAAGTAACATAGAGCAACGCGCTACTTTTCCTATCCGGCGTCTCCACAAGCGTAAGCAGTCTTCTGATGATCGGGCCAGACAGCGAGTCAGACCTACTGTAGATGAGTCTGTCTCAGGTGTTACTCCAGAGAGTGGGCAGTCAGTAGCTCATTCGCGAGAAGATTTTTTTTCACCAGATTCACTGAAGATTGTGGACAATTCTAAGGCTGATGCTGTTACTGATAAACAGGAGGATAATACTATTATGTTTGATCATTCTTTCAGTGCTCAAGAAGATGTTCAAGTGCCCAGCCAGTCAGACAACAGTGGAGGAAACGTTTCACAGATATCCATCGCATCCCAGGTAATAGAAGTGGAAACCAGTTTTGATCAGAAAACTACTTCTGAGAAAAACAACTTATCATGTGAAAATCCAGAAGTCAGTCTAAATGAAAAAGAACACATGGAGGTGATGGTTAAATCTGAGCCTTTGAGTTCCCCAGAGCCTCAAGATGAAGTGAGTGATGTCACTTCTCAAGCAGAAGGCAGTGAGTCTGTTGAAGTGGAAGGAGGAGTGGTGAGCGCAGAGAAGATAGAACTGAGTCCTGAAAGCAGTGATCGTAGCTTTTCTGACCCACAGTCCAGTACTGATAGGGTGGGAGGCATCCATATTATGGAGGTGTCAAATAACCTGGAACACAAGTCCACTTTCAGTATCTCAAATTTCCTGAATAAAAGCAGAGGTGGCAACTTTGGTGCTAGTCAAAATAGCAATGACGACATTCCAAATACAACAAGTAACTGCAGAATGGATGGTGATGCCTCTTACCTAATAAGTTCAGAGTCTGGGCCTGCTAATGGTCATTCCTCTGCTACAGTTTCTCATGTAGAGAATCCATTCAGTGAGCCTGCAGACTCTCATTTTGTTAGACCAATGCAGGATGTAATGAGTCTTCCCTGTGTACAGGCTTCTGGGTACCGAGCTGCAGAACAATTTGGTATGGATTTTCCGAGGTCAGGTTTGGGCCTGCACTCTTTGTCAAGGACAATGATGGGCTCTGTAAGAGGTGGAGCTAGTAGCTTTCCTGGCTACCGTCGCATAGCCCCCAAAATGCCTGTTGTGACCTCTGTCAGGAGCTCCCAGCTGCAAGATAACTCTTCCAGTTCCCAGCTGTTAATGAATGGGACCACTTCTTCTTTTGAAAATGGGCATCCTTCACAACCTGGTCCACCACAGTTGACAAGGGCATCTGCAGATGTTCTTTCAAAATGTAAGAAGGCCTTATCTGAGCACAATGTCTTGGTTGTAGAAGGTGCTCGCAAATATGCCTGTAAGATCTGCTGCAAGACTTTTTTGACCCTAACAGACTGTAAGAAGCACATCCGCGTGCATACAGGAGAAAAGCCTTATGCCTGTTTAAAGTGTGGCAAACGGTTCAGCCAGTCCAGCCATCTATATAAACATTCCAAAACAACCTGCCTGAGGTGGCAGAGCAGCAATCTACCTAGCACTTTGCTTTAATCTCTGGGCCAGTGGAGTTTTGAAAATCTCCAAGGCTGAAGAATCCACAGGCTAAGTTCCAGTGCTTGTCATGGGGAAAGATTTTTTTTTTTTTTTAATCTCCAATTGGAATTTCAGTTTTTGCAACTTGGGACTGTTGCTTCTTGTTTTTTTAGCGTGCCCCTCTGACTGGATTCTGGCTCTGTGTTCTCTGTGGCCCCATTTGGGTACCAGAAGACAGCAATTAACTTTATCTTCTCCAGGCTAAAGAACTTCAGTTCCTTTAGCATCTCCTTGTATGCTGCATGCTTCAGCCCCCAAACAAATTAAATGTTTCCATATCAGCTGTTCTGGCCAATTTGGTTTCTCTGAAATTTCAGTAGATAAGGAGTTCTCTGAATCATTAATGTTGATAATCCCCTAACACTAGGGAGAGATTTCAGAGACTGTTTATAGAGTCTCTAGTTTTTTAAAAGAAGCAACAGCAATGACTAAAGAATTGCATGCAGGTTAGTCTGGTTATGCACTTGAAAAATATAATGGAACCACTTGTTTGGACCCTGTCAGAAAGATGTAGTGGCTTAAAATGTAACTGATGTCAGGGAGCTTGAATTCATAGCAGCTAACTTTTTTAAAAAACTTGATTATATAGGTCTGACTTGAATAAAAAAAAAAAAAAGCCAGTTCTGTGTACATTGGAGTCATCAAAACCATTGATCTAATAGGAAAACATCCTGATTTTAAAATCTTTCAGTATTTGGAAACTAACACTTAATAGATTAGATGGATTAAAAACTGGCCAACTGATCAACCACAATATAATTGTTAATGGGTAGAGACAAATGAAATAGTTCATTTTTAGCAGAGTCCTCTAGGCATTAGGGGACTCGTAAGTCATTATTTTTATTGGACTGTTACTGTTGCTGGTAAAATATGCAGACAATATCAAGACTGATGGAACTGATGGGTAAACAGTTAGGGAGAGAGATCAAATATAGGTACTTGGGTAATCCAAGGTAGCTGGTTAATTAATTGCGGGCCAAGAAGATAAATTTTAATGCAAACAAGTACAAATCTGTGTGGCTATGGAGAGTACAAGTTATATAAGTGAGGCAGAAGACGTTTGGCCTAGAAAGTTCTAACTTAAGGCATATCTTAAAAAAGCTAAATTAAGCAGAAGTTGAGGAAGATTCTTGTCTTTAAGTACAACAACAGTGAGACGACTTTAAAAACACTTTGTCTGATTCTGGTGTCTGTACTTGCAGAAGAAGATAACAGTTATGCGAGGACTTCAGAAAAAAACACCAAAAATTCAGAGACTGGAAAAAAAAAATTGCAAGGTGAGGTTAACTCTTTGTCAAACTGTAGGTTTGTAGGCAGAAAGGTGAATTGTCCATTGCTTATAGTTCCTTTGTACGTTGCAGTATTTGATGACTGGCTTTTTCCGCCTTGCTGAGAATGGCCTAACAGTTTTGTCCGAACACTGGAAATTGAATTAGGAGTCGAGTTCAGCCTTCAGATAAGACGCAGCAAGAAAAGATGCAGCTGAAAGAACTCATCAATGGCTCATGGCAGCTTGGAGGCTTCTTAATCAGAGATGCTCTTAATCAGCCTCTTTAATTGGATGTGCTCTGGTTTGTGCATACGGGGCTGAGAAGGAAAGCAGCAGAGTGAAGAAAATGGTGATCCATGCTGGCTTTGGTATCTCTTGCTCTTAAATCAGTGAGTTCCATAGTCATTCCCTTACTGCAAGGTTTGCTAGAAGATCAGGATTGCATCCGTTGCTCCTGATAGCTTTTTCTTAGGACTAAAATCGAATCTCATGTTTCAGGATAGTTTCTGGAGTTCCTTTTTAACTCTCCCATGTGCAGCTGGGATAATGTGGTATAGTAAAGGTGGTAGTGGTTACAAATAGGAATGCAAACACACTCTTGGAGACTGGACACCATCCAAGGTGAATGAATGCTCTGGAGCTGTAAGGTAAATCCTCTTTCAAGATGCTTAAGTGATGTGTCTTGCTACCAAGACAGGATCAAACTGAGCGATAGGAAGATCTGGGGTTGGGAAGTAATGTACCCTGTGACCGTGGGGGCAGAGAAAGGAGCAGGGAGTCGGTGGAAATGGCCTTCCTGCGTGGTGTTCGTGCAGAGAGTGAGTAGGCAATAGTGTGCTTTGTGGGAAACATCTGCTTCTTTAGGGCATGGCGTCTTGAGTGCTGTGGCTGGGACTGCGCATCCCCAGACCAGTCCTCAAGCAGGGCTGTGCCTACAAGGCATGATTCAGTCTAATCCGTGTTGAAACTCTGGTTTAGCTGGCAAGATTATTTTACTGAATATCTTTTTCCTTTCTTTTAGCTCTAAGGAACGTCTCTGCTGGTCCCAGAGCTGATTTAACTAAATGGTGGGCTGTGAATTGGCAGGAAAAGTTTGCTCTGAATTTATTCAGGATGGCAGAATGAGAAAGCACTGAAAAGTAAGTGATAGGTAAACAGGAGGTCATTTATACCTTTTGTGTATTCAAAGATGCATGTAAGTTTTTCTCACACATTTGTTTTAGAACAGTGCCTTCTTTAGAGTACGTTATTCATCCCTTCAGAGAGCCTCACTGGAGATAAAAGTTACGGTTATTACTTAGAGGCAGGGAAAATAATTTGCTCAAGACTGAAAGTGCTTTTCTGAAGTTTATTGTATTATATTTTGTTGTCTCACATTTTAAGGCTCAAGAAGCTTGGATCAATTCACGTTTTATAAGGTAAGATGTTTGTTAATATCTAGGTATTTCTGAATCTCAAAAGAGCATCATAGAGGCTTTTTTGTCGTTGAAATGCGCACTCGAAAAGGTTTGTTTACCACATGTTAGCCAATGCAGTAATGTGTGGAAGTGTTTTTAAAACTTCAGGTTTTAAGAAAGACTGCTCTATTATTTTTTCCCTTTTCTCTGATGCAGAGGATAGATGTTGCCCATAGCAGCAGAAGCCATGTCTTCTAATATTGATGGAGAGAAAAAATGTTCTGTGGGCAGTCCAACTTCTGACTCTCCTGTGAGGTTTCTTATCTTTATTTCTGGTTTTAAGGGTCAGATGAACTCAACTTTTTGTGTAACAATTTTAGGGCACCTGTTATCTAAAGAAAAAGGACTTTCTGTGTCAGCTACCTCCCTCTCTTCAGCTGCCAGCTTCAGGGCAGAACTGAGCTAGAGACAGAATGGTTCATTTCTCTTTCATGTCTATCCTTGGTAGGTGCCCACTGTTCAGGGACTGTCTGCTGTTTTTTCATCTGCATACAACGAATCTTAGAATAATTTAGGTTGGGAGGGACCCCTGGAGATCATCTAGTCCAACTCTCTGCTCAGAGCAGGTCTGATCAGATCAGGTTTCTCCAGGTCGCATCCAGTCAAGTCTTGAACGCCTCCAGGAATAGAGTCTCCACAGCCTCTGTCAGACCCGATGCCAGCATTTCACCCTGACGGTGAAAAAGGTTTTCCTTCTATCTAATGAGAACTTCCCATGTCCCAGCTTGTGTCTGTTGCCTTACCTCTTACCGCTGCACACCTCTAAGAAGAGTTTGGCTCTGTCTTCTCTGTGCCCTCCAGGCAGGTAGCTATAAACAGCAATTAAGTCTCTGCCTTCTCTTCTCCAAGCTGAACAAACCCAGTTCCCTCAGCCTCTCCTCATAGGGCAAGTGCTCCAGCCCCTGACCGTCTTGGTGGGCCCTCCGCTGAACCCCCTCTAGGTTGTTGACATCTCTCTTGCACTAAGGGTTCCAAAACTGGACATGGTATTCCAGATGTCTAGATCACTGTTGTCAATGAGACTATTAATATTTTAGCCTGGAGAAGAGAAGGCTGGGGGGGGGACCCTAATTGCAGCCTTCAATACCTACAAGGAGGTCATCAAGAAGATGGAGCCAGGCTCTTCACAGTGGTGCATGGCAGGAGGATGAGAGACAACAAGCATAAGTTGAAACAAGGGAGGTCCAGACTGGATATAAGGACAAACTTCTTCACCATGAGGACAGTCAAGCAGTGGAACAGAGAGGTTGTGGGAGCAGGAAGTTCCGCCTGGACAGAAGGAAAAACTTCTTTACTGTTAGGGTAACAGAGCACTGGAACAGGTTGCCCAGCGAGGCTGTGGAGTCTCCATCCTTGGAGATATTCAAAAGTCACCTGGACAGGGTCCTGGGCAATGTGCTCTAGGTGACCCTGCTTGAGCAGGGGGGTTGGACTAGATGATCTCCAGGGGTCCCTTCCAACCTCAACCGTTCTGTGATTCTGTGATTCACTGATAATTTCATTAATTTCCAGTAGTCCTTCCTGCACACGCACAGAAACATTTAAATATCTAAACTGCAGTTCTTCAGTAGCAAATGGAAGGAATCCCATGTCTCCCATCATTTACTACAGATCTGCAGCACTCAAAAGCAGAGAACTAGAATTAGATGAACTATAGGTAAATACAGTGCAAATAAACTGAGTGAACAGACTATGAAGAGACTATGGCTCTAGGGAGAAGTACCCTTGCTGCAGCAGCCAGGTTCTCCTCCAGCCTCCTTTAGCTGCTGCTTCTTACTGCCCCCTCCAGTCTTTCAGCACAACTATTTGATCACTAGCCTTTTTCTGTCAAAAGACAAATACTTCTAACAGTAGGGTTTTGTGTGGGGTGTGGGGGGTTTTGTGTGTGTGTGTGTGTGTGTGTGTGTGTGTGTGTGTGTGTGTGTGTGTGTGTGTTTGGTTTTTTTAACCTGGCTGATTTAGTGGGTGACTACCTGCAGAAATGTGGCAGACAGAAAGGACAAGGGGGAAAAGGAAAGGGAAGAGGTGAGAAAACAATGAGTAGCTAAGGGCAGCAATCTTTTCACACAGTTTGTCTGCAGCCAGAACCATATGTCTGACCACATACAACTTTCTCAGAGATACAAGACCAAACCTGCAGGAGATTCTGCCATGCAAATATATCAGATCTGTGGGGAAGCAGAAGAGAGCCACAAACCATTGATTGTGGGCAGAGAAACAGACTGGTTCTA